AGTTGCTGATCAACTTTTATCTGGTCGATTGGCGATAGCCTCAATGTGTCTGGGAGGGACAAAGGGTATGTAAATATATGAAATAACGCAAATTGATCACTATTTTTTAACCTTATGCTATATGCTAGCTTGCCTTTCAATCGCATTGAGATACGCAAGTTCTCGATTGGCAGTTGGTGCTAATGGAAAGAGGTTATTGAACTTTCACTCGCAATAATTTTGAATTAATCGTATAAGAAAGAAATTTAACATTCCGCGCTTTCTAGTGATACTCCAATTCTCGCGTACCAACTTCAACAACGCGCGTTATTGCCGTTACTAGCCAACACAATAGCTCTCAATATAGGACTAAATTATTGTAAAGACAGATGGGCTACTCAAGCAAGTATAATAGAATATTATTAGCTTATATTGAATCACATTAGTTATGTCTTTTGTTAATATGAATATTAATTTTTATAGACGCCTCAAGATACCGCAGAAGTTGTACGTCTATGTTGTGTTATTAAACCGTTAGTCACTTGGAATTTTGAAAAAGTTGCTACGACCTCTAGAGAGCGTTGTGGTGGTCAGGGATATTTGAGTATTAATCGGTTTGGTAGTTTTATTGGATTTGCGCACGCCGGTATGACTGCTGAAGGAGATAATAGTGTTTTGATGCAAAAAGGTGAAGATCCAATTCGATTTTATTTATTGTAAGAGTTTATCTCCTATATATTGATTACAACAATTTCTTTTAATAATATAGTGGCCAAGGAGTTGTTAGCTGATGTCCAGAGTGGTGCTGTTAAATTACCATCTGCACCTGAGCCTGAAAAAGCTCAATCATGGGATATAAGTATACTGGAGAATTTATTGAATTTATTCAGGCTACGGGAGCAAATCTTACTAAATGAAGTAAATATCAAATTGCATTTCTTTGGTAAAACATCTTCGCCATATGGAATGGGTCTTAACTGGGTTGCTTTTAGCTTCAATCAAATTTGTCCAACAAAATTGGTGCTGGTTCGATTCTCTTTGAAGTTTGGATGAAACAAGAATCCGATAACATACAATCCCTTGCCCGTGCACATGGTGAACGGATAGTTCTTGAGCAAGTTTTAAAAGCAACAACTGAATTAGATATAGATGCCAAGTAAGCGATTCTTTGAAATTATTTACAAACCTTATTGGTGAATTATCTCCACCTTATACAACTCTTTACCTAGGACACTCTTATTAATCGTTGCTCGTCTGTATGCCCTTAATCAACTTGACACCTATCTCGCTTGGTACATAACAAATGGATTGGTGTCTATAAAATCAGCGAGACTGGTACAGCCAATGATCCGAGAAATTGTCGCTTCTCTGGCACCGTATAGTATTCAAATTGTGGATGCGTTAGGTGTGGATCCACG